GACGGGCTGGTCCAAGAGCTGATAGCTTGCAAAGGCGAATTGAAAAGCGGAAACCAAGCATCGACAGGCAAAGGTCAGGAAGGTCAGTATGCAGTTGTCCGAGATTCTCAGAAGCGATCCGAATGACGCACGACAGCAAATGCTGTACAAAATGCGGGGGTCGGGGGGAAGGAAAAGGTTGGGAGACTAGATACAATTTTTTGGAAGTCGCGTGTACACTGTACAAGGGCCGATACTACTTGACTGACATGAAAACGAAATATGTGGCCAGCAAGATAAGCTAGTCAGGGTGGAGTTTTGAGATAGGCTGGAAATTTGGAGACAGTGCTCCATAACCGTGCTCCGTAGGTAGTCCGTAATGATGTGGTATTCCACTTTCCAACTGCGGATGTGGTACTCCGTACCTTACCTACGGTACGGAGTAGTAGGTTACTAGGTACCTGAGCTCTGATCGTTGTTTGTAAATTTATAACACAATTGTAATTTACATCATTTCTGTGGAGCAATCCGAACTACCTACCTACCTATAAGTACTGGTTACCAGGCAGTAAGGGTCAGTACCTTTAGAGGTACTGTATCTAGAGTTTGTACCTTAATGGTCCAAAGACCATTAATTCCGTCATCTGGAATGAGCACCTTCGGCTCCATCAGGCAAGGAGACTAGGTACAGAGCATGTCTCTGTATAACTAGACCAACGTGGTGCTATCCGATATCCCATTGCGGCCAGATAGAAAGATCGATGAAACATTAGCAGCTAACACTTGTATCGGTAAGGAGTAAGGTAGGATGCTGAGCCGTGATACGGAGCACCTTGAAATAAATAATACAGGTCACATGCTCAGAACATTCACTGTCTTTCTTTACATTACGTAGACTATCTACCCCTCTTGAAAGCCCACAACACAACCATTTTCCCCTCTGATTTCTTTCCCCTCCATCCCATCCCACCTTCTCACCGCCTAACATTTTTGTGATAGTGATATCAGCACGTGACTCCCCTTTATCATCTCGTCAAACAATCTATATCAGAACCCAGCTCTCTTAAGAGGGCCATCAGAGTTCTGGTCATGTCTGCGGACATTCAAGGCCTTGCTCCAGATGTGCAGCACATCTTGAATGAGGCAAGAGAGGTGAGTGTAGCCCTTGATTCTTTTCACGATTTTAAGACTAACTTGTCAAGCTTGTCTCTCAACTGTACAGTCCAGAAAATGCAGGCAATCCCACTGAGATCAAGTTTATCCAGGAGCGTTTGCAGTCGCTCCAGAAAGGTCCTGAGGCATGGCTAATTGCTAATGATCTTCTCAGTGCTAATAGCACTGATATGAGATTTTTTGGCGCCTTGACTTTCACTGTCAAAATCAACCTTGACTGGTACGTGACTAATCGAAATATCTGTGGAGTTCGGCTTTCTGACATTGTTGCAGGCAGAAACTCAACCAGCACGATGTTGAAGAGCTCCTTGGTCGGTTAGTTGGCCATTATGCTGTGCTCGTCAACACAGGCGAGCGGCCTCTCGTCATTCGAAAGCTGGCCACAACCCTGGCAACCATCTTCCTGAAGCCGGGTGCTCCTTGGACTCGTGCTATCTGGAACGTAGCTGCTTCCTTAGCAGGCAGCAAGTATGTCCCTGAAAACGAATCTCGGTCTGTCGATTTGCTTAATTCTATCTTGCCGGCAATGTCTCAAGCTCAGATCGTTGCATTGCTCTATTTTTGCAACGTACTGGGGGAGGATATAAATAAATGGAGTCCTGAGTTCCGCAAAGAGGTCGATATTCGGCGCGCGGCTGAAAATATTCAGGATGCATTTGTTGTTGTGGAGTTTGTTCTGCATCACTTCCTCATGCAGGAATCCTCCCATGCCTCCTATGACCCTGCTCCGGGCATCGAAGCTCTCAATGCGTACAGCGTAAGTTCACCTTGGGCTTGCATTCTTCATTATCTATCTGCGTGATTATCTGACCCTTATGTTCTAGTCATGGATGTCCGTGCAAGGTGGAAGCTTGTTTCGAGACACGATTTCGGCCTCCCAGCTAACGTCGGCTACAAACCGTGTCGTCCAATGTTTAAAAGTTCCAGGGTTGTCGAAAACTGCAGCTCAGGTTGTTGTCGAAATGATGGATTGGAGAGATAATATTTTTGGTCAAGATCACCTCAATGCTATCCTGGCGTCCATCATAAGTGATTTTGGGACCGCCCATATTACGTCGCTTTTGGACGGCGATTTCGAGACTGAGAATATGACATTTTTGGAGCTCCTACTGGCGTTCTCGACTCTCAAACAGAGAGAGATCTTGACGCAACCTTTGAATCCTCAATACAATCAGATTCTTACCTTACTTCATGCTTTATTGAAAGCCCCCGGCTATGCGGCAGTGGATGACTTGGCGTCGCCCCTTGCCATCGAGTGGTGGACCGAAGTTGCCGACGATTTCCAGGAGATTATCGCTGATTCAGAGGATCAACGTAACTTTGAGCCTGCCAAGCAAAATCTTGCCCGTGCAGCTTTGGACTGCTTTGAGAAGCTCAAGTATCCGATTCCAGAGGAGCTGCAAGAGTGGAGAGATGATGATCGCAGTGAATTCAGTTCTTTTCGCCGTGACGCCTGCGACTTTATTCTGGCCGTCTATCCCATTCTGGGTGTGGATTTAGTTCGAGTATTTCAAGAACGCTCGAGGACTTCTCTCGCAGAACGAGACTGGAGAACTTTTGAGGCCGCGATCTTCTGTATTGGCCAGCTTTCAGAAGCTGTGGATGACAACCAGCATGCAGACGATTGTTTGAACGCGATCTTCTTTTGCGACGAGTTCGCTCATCTCTGCAGGGGTGAAGCAATATTGATCCCAGACAAAGCTCGCCAAACTCTAGTGGATATGCTAGGAAGATACCAATCTTACTTTGAGCGTACCCATGCTTTGCTCCCCCTGGTGCTTACTTTTCTGTTTGCGTCTCTTGACGTCGCATCCTGTGCGCCAACTGCTTCCAAGTCTATCTCTTACCTCTGCAGATCCTGCCGTAATGCTTTGACTTCTCAGCTCCCAGCATTCCTAGATCAGTTCGATCAATTTCGTCACAAACCGACCGCCACAGTCATGACGATGGAGAAAGTTCTGGAGGGTATCGCTGCCATTATTCAAGCGTTGCCTACGGATGAGGACAAAGCACAGTTCCTTGAGAGAATCCTGGATTATCTCCGTCAACAAGCAATAGTGGCACGAGATGAGGCCGCTCGTGATTTGCCGGATGCCGCGTACAGCCACTCTCTGTTAGTGTTGCGCTGCATCGCAAGTATTGGTAAAGGTCTCAGGACCGAGAACGAAATCGTTCTGGAGTCTAGCGACAGCAGCAATGGCGACTCCCACTCGCTTACCTTCTGGAATTCCGGTCGAGGCGCTACTGCTCAGAGTTTGATTATTCAATCTATGCAGCTACTAATGACCGAAGTTCCCAGGGATGCGAGCACGATTGAGGCTGCCTGTGATATACTGAAGGCTGGCTTCACTGAGAAAGCAGGTCCTTATGTGTTCCCGCCGATGGTTACTGTCAGTTTCGTCAAAAGCATCCCTTTGGGCAGCGCGGGTACAGATATGGTAATGGGTACTGCCTCTGCATTTTTAGCGTCTCACAGTGCACATCCAGAGCATATCCGCGAGGAGACCGTCGCTTTGATTGTCCACGTGTACGAAAGCATCTGTCGGATGCAGGAGATGTCAGGGTTTTACGACCCCGAAGTTGCAAACAGTGGCATTGATTTCCTTACTCGCCTGGTCCCCAAGTACCATTCCGTCCTCTTCGCGCTTACTTCCGCGCCGCCACCGTCCGGCGAAAGCAATACATCGCGGCGTCCCGTGCTACAGACGATTCTCGACTTTACTCTACAGTCCTTGCAAGGCCCGGAACCACTTCCTCTCCGCTCTGCCTCGCAATTCTGGGTGAGCGTATTGAGTCTGCCGACCGATCCCAACGAGACGGACCCCGTCCAGGTTGCCATCAATGAGTATCTGCCGTCGCTTTGTCGCGTTCTGATCATACAACTTGCGGGCCGCTGCGCTCGCTCGGATATCGAGCACCTCTGCGATGTTCTCAGGAAAGTCATCTTTAGACACCAAGGCCAAGCTCGCCTCCATCTTTCAACGGCTCTTTCGTCCGTGGATATCGACGTCTCCCACGAAGGGCATGGCCATGTTTCCCCTCAAGAGAAAGAGCGGTTGGTTTCGTCTCTCATAGCCGCTAGGGGTATCAGAGCGCACACGAACCAGCTGGCACGTGGCTTTTGGATCAAATGTCGTGGAGCAGGCTTTGATTACATTGGCTAATGGCAATCGGGGTTGCATATTTGGTCGAGGTCCTTTAGGGAACAACGTCGACTCAATTGCTCTACTCGCGACTGCCTGTCAAGCATTCGATTCAAAGTGAGGCTTGTTTGGTCTTTTATCGTGGGTGGGCGAGTTCCTAATTATGGTAACAATAGACGGTGAGTACGCCGCAAGGGATCCATCGACAAGTGGCTCGTTGCTTTCCGTGTGACTACGGGATTCGTGGATACCGCACCAGGGGGATGACCGATACATCTGCAGTTGAACCGCCAAACAGCTACACATTACTCACATTGCTGGTATTGGTTATTGCATTTGTTGTTTCTCCTCATGTGGGTCGACATGGAACAGCGCGGCGCAGACTTCAGCCACTGGGGCGGTGCAAAGAGATATCTTAGCTTGTTAGGCTGTGAGCAGTTACTCGTAGATAGCTAGGCCAACGAACAAATTGATTCGTCCGCGTTTCATACTTTCCTCTGACAGTTAACTATCCAAACTTCCTCAGGTTGATCTGCTCGACCAAGTGGCACCTCCCTGGCTGATTGAGTGGGGATAGGACACTGGAAATAATAAGTGGCATAGGCGCTTAGTCGTTTATCAACAAACATTTCATTTCATACTTCACGAGGCATCGCTGGGTCTACGAGATTCCAGGAAACAAGTGAACAGAGATAATAATACAATATGCCTCATATCGCAAACACACCCGAGTCCATGCTGTCTCGCTCAGATTCACTAGATCCAGCCACAACATGCAGAGGCGTGACCGCAAATGGCCGACCATGTCGCCGTGCCCTAGCTGCCTCTATAGGACCGCAAAAAGACACAGCTTCGGCTTCAATGTACTGCTGGCAGCACAAAGATCAAGCAAGACCGGTATCAGCGTCGAATAATCCGGGAACAATCCGCCCCTCACAAAACCAAAACCCATGGCCGAAACCGCGGACAAGCATTGACACATTGATGGACCGGCTGGGCGTTCTGGAGATCAACGACCCACAGGCGAAACCGGCGCCGTACCGACGCCGGAAACCCAAAAAGCGGACAGTATGTTGCTGTTTCGAGATCGTGGACGACGTCGAGAACGAGCGGCCTCCGAGGCCTGTGACAGTGAGCGCCGCGGCAGACGCTCGTCCGTCGCGGCCGATGCAGCAGGTCTCGTCAAGCTCTTATCCAGGACGGCCTAAGCCCCCGGCCCAGAAGCCATCATCACAGTCAACATTACTCTCGCCTCGGCCGACATCCCACCGGCCGTCGCTGCAAAGTAGTCCGGCGTCTTCCTCATCACATACGACGACCCTCCTCGCATGGATTCCTCCAACACTAACCCCGCAAACAACATCTTGCCTGCTCACGGAGCTGGCGAAGCCCATCTCCGAAGCGGACGAGCCGGGCTACATATACATGTTCTGGGTGACGCCGTCGAGCTCCACGTCATCGCCGCCTCCCGCTGAAGTCGCCAGATCGCTCGTTCCGGAAGCACACAGACCAGAGCACGGTCGCCGCGTCAGCGACGCACTCAAAACAGCGCGCGAGATGAATGCCCTAACCTCTAAATCGACCAGTCAGGCATCAGGTACTATCCGCCTGAAGATTGGCCGGACGAGTAACGTGCAGCGCCGACTGAATGAATGGTCGAGACAGTGCTCGCACCATCTGACTCTGATCCGTTACTACCCGTATACACCATCGACGCCGTCGCCATCGCCGTCACCGGTTCGATTGCAGACTGGAGGAAATCGGCGAAATGGTTCCGCCGCCTTGGAGCCGGGGAGGAAAGTCCCCCATGTCCATCGCGTGGAACGACTGATTCACCTTGAGCTGGGAGATTTCAGGGTTCGGGATCTGGGGCGATGTGATGAGTGTGGGAAAGAGCATCGGGAGTGGTTCGAGGTTGCAGCGGAAAAACAAGCGTTGAAACGGGTGGACGAGTGTATCAGAAGATGGGTGGAGTGGGCAGAAAGTCAGAGGGTGTGAGGACATTCGCTGCGACTGCTGCATTCAAATGACTTGATGGTAATCATGGATTCCAAAGTTCTATCACGTATTAGCCCACTCTAGTCATATCCAGCATCAACACAAACGTACAAGAGCTTAAGCAACGCTCAGATGGGATGTTAGCCGTAAAGACAAACAACCCTGCAGTCCAATATAATAGGATCTTCAAGCCGGTTCCTCCTTAACTTTCTCTGCATCGCACCCATTGAAACCATTCACCCCAGCCCGCTTACGATCCTTCTCTCCATCCCCGTCATCGCTCAAATACCGCCTCAGCAACCACCTCCCAACCACAAACGTCGCCCACCCCCAACCCCACAGAAACAGACCTGCGACGGTCGTCGCAACCAGGACAGGCCCCAGCACCAATAGCGCAAAACAGCTAAACACCACCACCGCTATACCGCCCGCAACCATAGCCCCAATCAGAAAGATTGTGACCGGAATGCACGAGCAGACAAACTGGCAGAGCAAGAAGGTCGTGAGCAGCGGATGCGCGAGCGCGGTCTCAAAGATCGCTGCGCGGAGATGGGGAGGGAGGATGTACGTGTCGAGGAAGGTGAGGATGGAGTAGAGGACGACGAGAACAGACGACATGATCGGATTCATATTGTTGTCCTCGTCTTCTCCACTTATTGTGAAGGTATTCGGTAAAGGATTGTGCGGTTTTGGCGTTGGCACTGAGGCTGCATGCTCTTGCTTTCCATTCTCCAGCTGTCCTTGCTTGGGCTGTTTCTCCTGATTCTGCGACTTGATGTTCTCCTCGTGATCGAATTGGGAATCTGGCCGAGATAAGAGATCCATTGGGTCCGCCATTATGAATTATTCGTTCGTCCCGAGCTCTTGTCTTTCATTTCACGGCTTCGATGTCGTTCGTTTCGACGATGACAAGCTCCTGGAAACGCAACAGAGCAGGTCAGATAGAGGACATTGCCTATCTGGGTTAGATTGTTTTACCGTACTGTCAGGGTATTCAATTTCTGCGTTTCAAACAAACATCTGTATTTTACCGGTGTGACCTCTGGGGTCGCCGATCGTCGTACTCCGTAAGGTAGGGGCACAATACTCTGTACCCTGACAATTATCAAGGGCAAACCAGCGCAAGTGTCCTCAATTGAATAGTGATCTCAGAATTCGGAATTGAATCCCAGGGAACAAAGTATCTTCGCAAAATGAGTTATTATATCGTGATACTGTTAGTTGTGTCTTCAAACGGATTAGCGCCTCGCAGTAGCAGCATCCGCATGATCGACAGCGGGAAAAAAAATGCCGGTGGGGTAAGGGTAAAGAGTGCCGTGTACACTGGACAGTGACACTGAGCAATTTTCAGTTTGTCTTCATGGCTGCTGGCCAAAACGAAGAGATCGTCATTGAATTAGAGTATTCCTTCATCAATTCTGTGCTTTGTCTACAAGAGTAAGGACGAATGCACAAAATACCCTAACAAAATGTACCTGAAGTCTTGAATGCAAAATGCATAAAAGAACGCTATATCAACTTTTCCAACGCCCATATCATGACAAGAACATAAGAAGAATCACAAGTAGAGGAAAGTAGTGCAATTACCATCCTCTCTTGGCCAATCGGTCGGCCTCAGGCATCTGAGACACATTGATACCAACCATGGCCTCACCCAGACCCTCGCTGACTTCGGCGAGGACCTTGGGGTCCTTGTAGTGAGTCACGGCCTGGACAATAGCCTTGGCGCGCTTCTTCGCATCACCAGACTTGAAGATACCGGAACCGACGAACACTCCGTCGCAGCCCAGCTGCATCATGAGTGCGGCATCAGCGGGAGTGGCAACACCACCAGCGGCGAAGTTGACAACGGGAAGACGGCCCTTCTCGGCGGTCTCACGCAGAAGCTCATAAGGGACCTCAAGCTCGCGAGCGTAGGCGCGCAGCTCAATCTCGGGATCAGTGGAGTTCTGGAGGATGGCACGGGCGCGGGCGATCTGGGAATTGACCGTACGCATGTGCTTGACGGCTTCAACAACGTCTCCAGTACCGGCCTCGCCCTTAGTACGGATCATAGCGGCACCCTCGGCGATACGACGGAGGGCCTCGCCCAAGTTGCGGCAACCACAGACGAAAGGAACCTTGTAGTCGTGCTTCTTCACATGGTAGACGTCGTCGGCAGGGGTAAGGACTTCGGACTCGTCGATGTAGTCAACGCCAATGGCTTCGAGGATCTAACAATTACAACATGTAAGCGGCTATTTAGACTAACAATGGGAGGAAGGCAGCCTTACCTGGCACTCAACAAAGTGTCCAATACGAGCCTTGGCCATCACAGGAATGGTGACAGCAGCCATGATCTCCTTGATCATGCTGGGGTCAGACATGCGGGCAACGCCACCCTGGGCTCTGATGTCGGCAGGGACTCTCTCCAGGGCCATCACGGCAGCGGCACCGGCCTCCTCCGCAATGCGGGCCTGTTATGGAAGTCACATTAGCGCCGAGGGCTGGAATCATTGTGTTGACAATTGCCGCATACCTGCTCTGCATTGACGACGTCCATGATCACACCACCCTTCAGCATCTGAGCCAAACCGGCCTTGACAGTGAAGCTGTTGGTGGCGGAGGCGCCATTGGTACCGTTGGAAGCCATTGTGTATATTTAGAAGGGGCAGGTGGTACTAAGAGAAATGAAAGAATGGAGGAGAAAAATATACACGAGAAACAGTAGTAAAGGAGAGAGAAAATAGCCCCAGCAAAACCGAGTTCTTTTAAGAAGACCGAAGACGGACCTGTGAGTGTGAGTCAAGATCACTAACCTCGACCGTTGCCTTGTCGCCTCCGAAGAACCACAAAATTCCGTATCCATCACCCACACTTTCATGTCCCCGCCGAACTATGTCCTCTTTCCATCCGGCCGCGGGATAGTAGACCAATCACAGTGCCTGTGCCCCTCCCTCTCCCCAGTAAGTTTCCAGCGTAAATCTGCCAATCTGCAAAAACGCCGCTTGGTGGGCGGTTTCCCGCGGACTTGGGTCTGAAACCGTCAGGAACACCTGGAAATGCCAAGCATTGGCTTTGCGAAAAACTCTATCTCTACTGTAATTTTGGTAATATCAGGGATGGTCTCGAACTAACTGCCAAGCTGCATTTATTAGTAATCCTTCATCTGTCACATGGTGCATATTGAGTAGTGTCTGGTAGTGATATGACCCGGCGACCATGATACCAGAGGACTGAAGCTCAGTCTTTTAGGCTTTACAGGGGTCCTGAATGAGAGGAGCTGGGTGCTATGTAAGATTTGCACTTTACGTTCCTTGCATGATAGCTACCTTGGCCTTGGATGCGGAGAGTATCCCATGAATCAACAGCTCACGTCGTCCATTTATTATTAGTAAACATGGCATCTCACATTATCTTCCTCTTTTGAGATCATGAAATCAATGCAATACTACTAGTCAGATAGACAAGTAATGAACATCAACCCCTGGATGCCTGGAGATGTAGTTCTCGCCTCATCCCCGAAGGCCGTTTAGCCAGAAGCTGACCGCCCATTGACGTCACATCAGTGTCTCTCCATCTCCGCATGGCAGCGCGAACACCCCAGCTTCATTCAACAAGACCCTGACTCGCCAGTTCAGCTTCTTCTCTATACACATCTCGACCATTAATCTGTTTACAACTCTACAACTTCGCCTCTCAGATACGAAAACATGGCATCCGGTCTTCTAAGCGGTTTCGCTCGAACCTCCGCCGTCCTCGGCGTCGGTCTCGGCCTGTCCTTGTCGCTACACCCCTTGTCTCCATTCCGTGCTTCCCCAATGCAATGCCAATACTCTGCTCCGTACTACAGACTCGACACCCAAAATAAGTCAGAATCCGGCTGGACCATCGACCGCAATGACCCGGTCATCGCCAAGCAGGGGCACACCGGCCACCACACGAAATCCGGTATTCTGACCGCTTCCAATATGCGCCAGGTGAGCTTGGGGAGTGTGCTTGGCCTTGTGGTGGGGGTTGGATTAAGGGCGTTCTCGAGAGTGTTGGTCGTGCTGCTGGGAATGGGGATTGTGCTGATTGAGGTATGCGGATCCTGGAGATATTGTTTTGCTGGTGGATGTGAATGGTACTAACTGGGAGGTGTGTTGTAGTGGGCCGCTGCGAAAGGATACAATATCCTCCCTGTTCGGACGATACAGAAGTATGTCAAGTCGGTGGATGTGCAGAAGGCTGTGACGCAGCATATGCCTTTCAAGCTGAGTTTTGGGGCCACGATGGCACTGGCTGCATTTGCTCAATTCTAAATGCAAGAACGAACATAACGGACGACCCGGGTTTTCTTGGCTGGATTTGCGTGTGTAAGATACTCAGGAAGAGAAAACTGGACGTCTTGATGTTTGATCAGAACCTTCGAGATGGTCTTTATCAGTTATGTCCCTCAATTGTGATATACAGAGCTATACAGGGGTATCATGAGTTATGCAAAGGCACCACATTATATTTCATCCATCACCCCAATACCAGATCTTCCAGAACTCCCTCCATTTCTTCTCGCGACAACGGTACTCCCAGTATTTCCATTCCGCTCGTGTCCATCCGCGATGTGATCATCTGATGATCATGGAATTCTTTCAGCAGTGTTCGGAACATCATTTCGGAAGATGCAATAAACTCCTCGGCAGCCTTCTGGTAGAGCATGCGAAACTCAATGCCCGCCTCATCGTTGACCCCGTCTTCTCTTCCCGCATGGCCGTCCATCTCGTCATCCGAATGATGACCTTCGTCCATCATACATATCAGTTCAGTGAGGAGTAGTCGGTAGAGATTCCGCGCGTTCTCCGGAAGACTCTTCAACACGAAGCCAACACCGTCTTTACCCCCAATGCGACGGCCCTTACGTCCAAGCAGGTTGTGAACCTCTTCCACAACATCAAATTCAGTGTCGAAAGCGGCAAATGTTGTGCAGTCGTGAAAAACGAAATTGAACTGATCGCGAAGGCTGATATCCCACATCAACAGGAAATTCGGGGTGTCTGCCGTGGCAAGTAAATGGATCTTTGGCGTCGCAGCCAATCGCGCAAGGAGGGCTTGGTTCGTTGCTCGGCGGAGGGAAGGGGCATCGATCGCATTAATCAGGACGGTGATTGGTTTCTGGGAGGGTCGAGATTTTAGAGCAGATTGCAACAATTCTAATACCTCTAGTGGCTGAGACCCCAACTTCGATGGAATGTCCGCACCCAAGACAGCGGTAACGATGGTGGCGAAGATAGATCGAATTGACAGATTCGGAGTATGCCCGTTGACGACAACTATGGAGGGGGGTGAGGTGCTGTGTCTCTGGTAGAGCCAGTCTGCAAAATCATTAAGGAGCTGACGCTTCGAGCCGTAACCGTAGAGGCAGATGTTGAAGTCTTGATTGAACTCAAAATCCCACTGTGGAAAGGACCGACAATGCAGGTCCTGCAGAAAGTTCTTCTCCTTCTGGCACGGGTCCGTATATCCGGCCAACTTCTCAAAATACTCCTCGTGCGTCAGGAGATTCACTTTGTTAAGGGTATTATTTGACGTCCGCGGAGGGCCGGCTCTGTTCTGGAAGAAATATCGCTCATGTGCCGGCAATTCTCCCTCGGGAGTAGGTGAGCGCTTATTTTTTGCACCTTTCGGCCTCCCTGCACGACGTTTCGCCGTCGCTGTAGTCTTGCCCTCGGCTGCCTCTTTCGTGGTGCCTTCAACCGATTGGATAATCCCGTCACTATCGTCTACAGCGGTCCCAGGTGCGTCGCCCTCGTCTTCCAGAATTTCCTCTGCTAAACGGTCAGCACCGTCCCAGATCTCGTCTTCATCCTGCTCCAGCAGCA